CGAGTAGGAAGCACTGTAATGCTTGGGTGGCCGTTAAAATGGGCAAAAAATAACTTTGCAGGGAACACAAGCGTCGCGTCCTCAAAGCCACTCCAGAGGAGCTGAAATTGTTTTCTGGGGGGTTATAATGAGAGGGTTCAGATTGGCCTTAATAACAGATAGCAGAGGTAGGGGCATAAAAGGTCTAGCGCGGGCAGACAATGATGTGAGGAAGCTCTTAAAAACCAAATAACGTGTGCTGGGTTTCACTGCTTCCGCTGCTGGGGTTTTCATTGGGGCTAAATACAGGGCTTTGGACTCCTGTAAAAACACACACACACACACACACGCAGGTCTCCTCGTGGGGTTGAGGTGTCTGCAGTCTATCGGTTTGTCTGTGTGTGGCGGCGCGGGGCAGGGAGGTGTTTGGGTGGGTGATGTTTTTGTTTTTCCGGTTGGAGGGAAGAAATAGTTTCACGCTGGAGCGAGGACATGTTTGCTCTGGATGGATGTACAGTGCAGATGGGAACAATACTTTGGTGTGTGAGTGTTTGTTTGTGTGTGAGTGCGTCAGTGTTTCCCCTCTGAGTTTGTTCTTGGCATGGCGAAGCAGCGTTTAGTCCGTGTGATTCTTATTGAACATGTCAGTGAAGCCAATGTGTGTATTTTCAGCGCTGCTTTGCTTGGTGACCCATTCTGTGTCCCCAGTGTTGAAGAAACGCTGTAAAAGTGTGTGTGTTTGGGGAGTAACTGGTTACATGATTATAACCTTTTACCCTTACAGTTACATAAAAAAGACGTAATCAGATTACTGTTACATTTCTAAAACGCGGGGAATATAGCAGGATTAGAGTTCTACAAAAAAGGGCATAGTGTTTGTTGTAAAAGGATAAGATTTAGATTTAGTCTACTGTTCTGGAGGCTAATACTTTCAGTGTGAATCCATACGCCTATACTGCCTGCATTTGCTTTACGGTTTCACTTTCCTTGGTTCATATATTCTTTTTTTTCTTCCCACCATGCTTGTAACGTACCCAGAGAGGTGTTCCTGCCCATGTTGGCGATGGGGCTGGGGATGCGGCCCTTGCCCATGCCTGAGGGGCTGGTCTTGTGTCCGGAGTACAGACTCTGTGTCGGGGACGTCGGGGAGCGAAGAGGCTCGGCTGTCTTGGGTCTGGCTGAGAGGTTCAATGGCTGTGTGGATCCTTCCTCCTGTAGATAATGGAGGCAAGAGTGTTAAAAAGGACATATTATGCTTATTTTCGGGTTCACATTTGTATTTTGTGCCTCTACTGTGACATGTTTACATGCCCAGTCTGCTCTGATTGGTTAGCTGGCCGGCGCTGATGCCTTTGCAGATCATTTACATGCATACAAACCTTTACAACACGCTACAGGAAAGGGAAAACCCAAAAAAGCATAAAGTAATACTGTCATAGGGTCTCTTCAAATGGATCAGGGTATCACAGTTTTGTGGTTTCGTACACTTATCAAACAATCTAACCCTGTCTGTGGTAAAAACACTTTGATAGGCAATATGTTGATGGTACGCTTAAGGACAGTGATTGGCTTCAGCCACCCCCTCAATACTGGCCCGATTTCAAGAAATGTTCTCCCTGTTAGCCAATTATACACCACGAACATCGGAAAATAGGTTTTAGGTTGAAAAATATGGAAATTACCCGTTCAAGAATGCGAATCATTTGTGATGCAGGCCTGCCAACGGTGTCACGCTACTCCAATCATTGACTCTGTGTGAGCAGTTCACCATGAAACTGAGTAATACAGCAACACAGGTGTGGAAGAAGAAGACTGCTTGCAAACAAATATTGAAATGTATATTTTTCTAAACTTTGCAAATGTGTTGAGCAGAAAAAAACCATTTAATAGATTCATAGGTCTCCATCATGCTATTGCTAAACACACTAGAAGCTTCAGATTGTATAGAAGCGCATGTGTTGGTCACCAGTGGAAATGTATTCTCAATTTAAGATTATATACCACAGCCGCTGACTTTCAATATGTCCCAATCATCCTTTGAAGTGCCTTTAAATACTTAAATGTCTAAACCAGTCATCCCTATCAGGGGTTTGCCCTTAAATAAATAAATTCCACTGCTAACCTCTGTGAACAAGACAGTTAGGAAAAGCTGCAGTGTACTTTCTTTTCCAAACAATGAGACCTTTGTGCAAATCCTCTACTCCTTATCGAATGTTCACGACCACATTGATCCGCATAAGGAATCCCCTGGAAAAGGAAAAGTTGTGTAACGCACGTCAACAGGGCTCTAGTGTTGGCAGCAAACGCTGTACATGGATCTAATTTGGAGCTTCAGCCGAGGGAGGTGTTGAGAAGGAAGAGAGTTTAAAAGATGGAGAAAAAAGGGGTGGTGGGGTGGGGAGTCAGGCTGCGGGTGGCATGCCAAAGTGAGGGGTGGGTTAAGCAGAGGATGGGGAGTTTGGGAGCCGAGCACTACTGTTGGAGTGCGGTGAGCTCTGACGCCGGTCTATTGTGACGCCGCGTGCAGCTGTGCCCCACACACACACACACATACACACACACACATACACACACACACACACTCACACACACATGGCTTCCATTACTGCCTCGTCGCCGAGTTAAGATGAGGCGTACGCTCTCTCCACTGAAGGAGTCTGGGATCCTGCCAAACAGCAGCCAGCGCCAGTGTCATGTGTGTGTGTGTGTGTGTGTGTGTGTTTATGTGTGTGTGTGTATCAGTGTGTGTGTGTGTGTGTGTTTATGTGTGTGTGTGTTTATGTGTGTGTGTGTGTGTGTGTGTGTGTGTGTGTGTGTTTATGTGTGTGTGTTTATGTGTGTGTGTGTGTGTGTGTATCAGTGTGTGTGTGTGTTTGTGTGTGTGTGTGTGTGTGTGTGTGTGTGTGTGTGTGTGTGTGTGTGTGTGTGTGTGTGTGTGTGTGTGTGTGTGTGTGTGTGTGTGTGTGTGTGTGTGTGTGTGGTGTGTGTGTGTGTGTGTGTGTGTGTGTGTGTGTGTGTGTGTGTGTGTGTGTGTGTGTGTCAGTGTGTGACTTTTAAATAAGCTGTTTCTAATTGTCGGTAAAGAGTACGGGGCCACGCTCCGTTTGTTGTTTCAACAACCTCCACATTTCCAGCCTCTCACTTTTTACGTAAACTGATCATCATCATTATTATTCTTGTGAGTTTTCCTATCATAAATATTCTGAACTCACTGTTTCCTTTAACTCAAGGCGATGTTTGTTACTCCACACCATAGAGACACTGTATTTTCCCCTGACACTGTACATATATCTAATTAGTTGTTGCTTGTTTCTGGAAAAGAGTCAACTTTCTTTGCCTTCTGCTTCTTTGTCCATCTTGTAAATTAAACTTGTCAGACGCGTTTTTAATAATCATTTTTGAATTATATTAGCAGCTCTGACATTTCACACAAATCCTTTTACATCATTTGCAACACTGGACGCACCTTAATGTGAGTGATAGGACTGGATGATCGCTTGTCGTTCTTCAGGTTGGAGGGGGAGAGGGGGCCGGAGGAGATGTGAGCCTGTGGGAGGGGGGCCATCTTGGGTCCTGGGGACATCTGCATGGTTGCCAGCTGGGCGGCATACAGCTGCTGCAAAGAGGGAAGAAGACCGACAGTCTATTAAAAACCAGTCGCCAGCAGCTTTCCTTCTCTTTCCTCTCGTCTCCTTTACCCTTAATACTGTGTTTGTTCTGTATCCTGGTCCTTGCATCTTCCGAGGTAAGATGGCGGTGTGTCCGACCCAAACACACGCATTATTTACATGGAAACAAAAGTCCACCTTGACACCTCTTTCAGTTTCCAAAACAAATGGAAGATGTCTTTGACAAGTATTTATCAGGACGCTTTCCAACAAAACATCTACTTTTAAAAACAATTCATCCATCTTTGACACTTATTCATTCAGCAGACGCTCAGTAAAGCTTGAATATCGATTTGTATCTAGAATGAAGCCAGACACAAGCTACAATAAGGTCAAATAACATTTCAATGATTGAATCTAACCCTTTTTAATATATCTATCTATAAAATTAGATCTATTTCTGTGGTTCTCCAGAAATATGAATATAGTAGAAGGCAAGGCAAGTTTATTTATATAGCACGTTTCAACACAAGGCAATTCAAAGTGCTTTACAAAAAATGAAAGACATTAAGAAAATGGCATTTGAAATCATTAAAAAGAAAAGATAATAAAATAAACATTAAAAGAAAAAATACTTCCATTAATGCATGGAAACTCAGTGTTGCTACGAATAAAAGTCGTATTTCTTTTTTCTTTTTTTTAAACAAGGTGAACCACAATGAAAATAAGCGCTAGGCAAGTTCTGTTTTTCTTATTGCATAATCTAATAAAGTCTGTGTGTTCACAGCAGAGCCACTAATAAAATAGATATTATTCAAAATGAATAAAGTACTTTAAGAATCTTAAAAACACTTTGTCACATTTTGTTATTCTTTGATGGACAATTCAAACAATTCTCAATAACTTAGACAAATAGTGAACAATCATTTACGAGTGGGTGATGTCATAATGCAATTACTTATTAGTCGTGAGTCAATTGTAAAACACTTGAAAATAATGTAAAAATAACAGAAAACTATTTAAAAAAAGACTTGGAGGCAATGTGCCTTCACGGTTGGACGAAACATTACATTTTGCAAGAAAAACTGCACTGATTTTTCCATCCAACAAAAATCAAAGAGTCAAACGCTCGGCCCAGTCCAGGGTCTTCTAAATCAAAGTTAGCTAGCCAGACAAACCGCTGCCTGAAACCACTGTCAACCCCTGTCTAAATGCATTGGAGTGTGAGAGCTGGAGTATCAAAGCGCTGTCCTCAGGAAAACCACCCAGACGTGCTGGCCTTCACTCAGACTCCCTCCTCTCTTTCCGCTCGTTTCATTACTCTCACCTCATCTATACTCTCCCCCCTGTTCTCCTTCTCTCTTTTGTTCCCTCCTTTGATCTTCCTCTGACGGTGTCCCCTTTTACTCTGTCTCCAAAATCAATCTTCATATCTTCTCCAACCCTCACCATCTCTGTGTCCAGTGGAGTAAAGTAACTTTTACTCGAGTAGAAGAACATAGGATTCAAAAAACTAATGTCACAACAGGACTTAGAAAAGCTTGTCCATGCTTTTATCTTTAGTAGACTCGACTACTGCCATAGTGTCTTCACAGGGCTCACAAAGAAATCCATCAGAAAGCTGCAGCGGATTCAGAACGCTGCTGCTCGAGTCCTCACTAACATTAAAAGAGTGGATCACATCAGTCCGGTTCTGAAATCTTTACATTGGCTTCCAGTCGGCCAAAGAATTGATTTTAAAGTACTATTGCTAGTTTTAAAATCACGAAATGGGTTAGGACCAAAGTATATTGTCGATCTCCTACATAATTACGAACCATCCAGGAGTCTCAGGTCTTCAGGGACGGGTCTGCTATCGGCTCCGAGAGTAAACACAAAACATGGAGAGGCAGCGTGTAGCTGTTATGCCCCGACAATCTGGAACAAACACGTCCGCAGAAACTCTTACTATTTTTAAATGGAGACTGAAAACATATCTCTTTGCCGCTGCTTTTAATTGAGCTGCTCATATTCGCACTGCAGTATGCCTTTTAAACATGTATTGTATACCTGTTGTGTTCATTTGATTATCTTTGCTTTGTAATGCCTGTTGTAAAATGCCATTATATAATGTGTTTTTACTGTATTTATTCCTAAAAGTCTTTTAATTTGTTTTGTAAAGCACTTTGAATTGTCGCGTGCTGAAAAGTGCTATATAAATAAACTTGCCTTGCCTTACTGTACTTAAGTACAATTTTGAGTACTTTATGATAATTGTTTTATCTTTAATACTTTTGTATGCATGCTTCTTAGGTAACATTAAGCTGTCTTTAGCTCTTTTCTGCTGTAACAATGTACATTTCCCCTCTGTGGGACCAATAAAGGGATTCTGAGGTACTTGTACCTTACTTGAGTATTTCAATTTGTTGCTACTTTGTACTTCTACTCCACTACATTTCAGAGGTAAATCATGTACTTTTACTTCATTAAATGTATTTAATACCTTTAGTTACTTTACAGATGTGGATGAATGATGTGAAATATAATCAAGTGTTAAATCAGACTTGAGTAAATCCACCAGCTACCCTGCAGTATACAAAGTCATTCAAACTAGCTGCACCTTTACCAGCTTTGAGAACACTTTCATGATCAATCATTATAAAACATATCATATATATTATTCTGATATGGACCAATCTGCACAATGAATACTTTTACTTTTGGTACTTTAAGTATATTCTGATACTTCTGTACCTTTACTTATAGCATTTACTCGTATCAGAGTATTCCTACACTCTGGTACTTCTTCTTTTACTTAAGTTCAAGATCTGAGTACTTCTCCCTCTTCTGTCTGTGTCTTTTCTCTCTCTGTTTTTACTATCTGCCCCCGCAGTCTGAACCAGTGTTGTGAGATCTGATTTCCCTGTAGTCAAAACTGCAAAGCCTCCTGGGACCTGAGATCCACAAGCAAAGATGGTGAAAAAGAGAGAAAGTGAGGGGGGCGGGGGGGTTGATAGAGAGTGTTGCGCTGCAGACACACGAGACCACCGTCGCTTCACCGCCGGAGAGCCAGGGCTCAGCGGTTGGGCCCCAGAGAAATTGGCTGGCCCTCTTTCCACTTCTCTTTCGAAGCGATATTAAACACAAACAGAAGGGGCCTCGCCGTTGAAACAAAGCCCTGATGTCACGCCGCTTATTTTCTTTGGAAGGTAACAGGAGTGCTCTGGCCAACCCCTGGCGATATGAGACCCCCGTAAGAATGTGCCGTGAATGGCTGGTGGTGAGGCCTCTCGCGTCAATCAAGCCCACCGCAGAGTTACTTCTGGTGATGCCTGATATTCTTACAGCTCTGAGGGGAGCAGGGCCGACACACCAGGCTTTGAGGTAAAACACACAGTTAGGGTCTCACACTCCTGCACAAACACACACATATACTGGGTGCAAAGTTAACACACTCACTGGTATTGTGCTGGTGGAAGAAGTACTCAGATGTTTAGGTAAAAGTAATAATACTTTTACAAGTAAATATCCTGCATTCAAAATGGTACTGAAGTAAAAGTACAAAAATGTAATATTAGCAGCAAACATTTTTTTTTTAAACACGGCTGTGACGGAGCGGATCACATGAGTGACTGACTCCACACACACCACACACACACCAAACATTTCCTGCTCTCTTCCTAAAAAGGAACCATGCAATTTATTATTTATTGTGCGTTTGTTAATTTATTAAATGATTATGTTAAGAGGTGGTTAACCTGTTTATGTTTGGGTCGGATTGTTTTAGTTTTGAGGTAATTGCGTCACCTGTTGACGGTAAACCTGTGGGAGGGGCTATGGGTTCAAAATGGACGGTTTTGGCCCTGGAAGTGATCACTCGGAAGAATGTTGCAATGAAGGCAACAGCTGGGACATGTTCAGGAGATGGTTGCAGAGAAGGCAACACCAGAGCATGTTTACTCTAATGAGTGATGGACGGCCTGTTTTGGATTTTTATTTTGTTGTTTAAGTTGTGCTGGTTCTGTTTTTTGTTTTTGTTGCTGTAAATAAAGTTTTGGAGCTTAACCCAACCGACTAGGCCAGTGTTTTTTGAACGGACAGATAGAGCCCCGTCACAACGGCTTAGTTTGAATACTTGATTCTGATATTTTAGAGGTTGTTAATACTCGCTAACAGACCATTGCTGAGGAGGATCAAGGGACTATATGCAGTCATATCAATCCGCAGAAAGAAGTCCGGGGAATAACTCGTTATCCAAAGTCGCTTTTTGTGGTAAAAATATATATACAATAATAAGCATTTTTATAATTAGTAATGCCTTAATGTATCTCTTTTTCAATTTGAAGATGGTAAAGTATGAGATAACATTAATAACTTTTTCATACTGCCAATTATCTCCATCCATAACATCACATCATAATGTATTAAATGATTGAACGTGCTGGTATACATAATAAGAACCTGCAACTACAAACCAATGTTGTCAAATAAATGGTATTATTAGAAAATACAATATGTGCTACTAAAATGCAATGGAGTAGAATTATAAAGTAATACAAAATGGAAATACATGTACCTCAAGTATAGTATTTGTATACATTTACTTAATTACTTTCCACCACTTTCTGTGAGGGAACTGTTGAACAAACAAAAGGCGAAGAATAAGCTTGTTTGTACTCTGAGACAAACTGAGATTGATTGGTGACAAGGGGAGGCTAATGTGCAGCGTAAACAACCGCATCCAGAGCTCTCGCCATTCAGTCAACCCCCAAGGGAAGACAATGCCGCAATTTCCCAAATTACAAATTGACAAAGAGGATAGCGCGAGTGCTAATTTGACTAATATCCAAATGATTAGTCCGTCATTTGGCCATCCTGAACATCATAAGGTTTTAAAACGTCTACTTTGGCCGGGAAGCAGAGAAAAGGCGATATCGTTTTAGTTTCAGTGTGGGCAGCGCTGTCCGGACTGCTGTATTGTACCGTGCCAAAAAACCTCCTCTGTGCTCAGACCAACCTGTCCCATTAGGACTGAGTGGAGAATCCCTTTAGCCGGCCTCTTTTAGTGTCGAGCTGCTATCGATCTCAGGAGTACACAAAACAAATGAGGTTTTTGTCTTTTTCAGCAGGTTTCCGTTAGGAGGAGGAGGAGGGAGAAATGGATCGACTGCCACTAAGCTGGCCCACACAGAGGGAGGATGGAGGCTAAATATTGCACTTGGAGGCTCACTCTGCATCCAAGACAGTGAAAGGGAAACATTGAGAGGCAGGCTGCATAAAGACAATCTCACTTCCACTTCTCTTTTGTGGAGCAGATGCTTAGTTTTGTAAATCGAGACAAACAAAATTGATTGCCTTCCAATCATTGTCATCTCCTTATGAAAAGAAAGTCGTGACATGGTGTATTCCTCACCGTCGTCTCCACGCCTCAAACACAGGAACAGAAACATAGAGACTAACAACGAGAGATGTCTTGAGATGATTTCAACAAAAAGGTCGGCTAAGCAACTGTATTTCACTCGACAAAGGAATCCTCTGTTTGTGAAGGGGTCTGCTCCGAGGCTCTGGAAACAATTGGTCTGATCGAGTTCCCACGCTGATAGCACGACAATGTGCTATCAAAACTCTCATGTCGGGTCAAGTACCATCAGACAGTGTCTGGCAAACATTTGAAAGATGTGTTCAATTAATTGAGGTATAAAACAAAGTAAATGATTGCTTTTAATGTCTGAACCTGTCTTTTCCAATGCTTTTTGTGATTTGGTAAACCTCTTGCAGCATTTGTATATTTACTGCTCAGACTCTTATTTTGAAATCGACTCTAATTGTTTCCTTTTCCCGTTTATGCCTTTGTGCTTGTTAGTTGTGAAGCTGCTGTTGTAATGTTTATGTGGCACAATAACTTACTTCTCTCTCCTTTTATGGCATTGCATTATTTATGTGATGATACAAATATTTGTGGTCAGTTGGCTGCTAACCCTACTCTTTTTAGCTTGTCCACAACTTGTGGCATTAGGCGCTAAGCTAACTTGCTAAGGTAATAAGTTAGCCTTGCAAGCTAGCTCTGTATTGATGTATACTGACAGTACATTTGGGTTTAAGTGTTGTAACATATGGTTACTGCAGCAGTATAGACAGAATGTATATATATATATTTTACAGTACTTGAATGTCTAAAGCTGACCATCAGTAATTATTCTCACACATTTATTTATTTTCTTATGCTTCATTTCAGAAACTACATTCTGTCGTTAGTTCTCCTGCATTCATTCACTCGGTCGATAATTCTTGAACATCATGATGATGAACTATTTGTATCACCTAAAGACTTTAGTACATCTGATGAACCATTGAAAGGTCAAATATCCAATTCACACTGCCTGAGAAAATGCCCTTCTGTATTTCAGTCTTTGCCCACCTGACCATCAGTGCCTGCTCTCTGCCTGAAGGGTGTCTACGGGGCAGAACAACAAAACATCTGGAAGAGTCTCGCTACAACATCTGTCCATCCTTTGCTCAACAAATATCTAGGTTTGATGCCAGCCGGTGTGCACTTGACCTCATTACGTAGCGGAGGAGATTGCTAGCGTAGAACTAACGTGGTGTAATTGTGTATTTATAACGCTTTTTTAATATGCTAATGCACAGTTTCACACACTGGAGAAGAGGCTGTTCTGAAAGGAAGCGTAACTGAGACTAATAAGTAAAAAATACTAAAAAAACAGACAAGATCTCAGTGAACACTCGACGGCCATGTCAATACATTACCATCGACTTTACAGTAGAGTACAGTACAGTTAAATAACTTAGTGACTCTGCAAAAGGCGTTATTTTACAAGCAGCAAAGGGAAAACTCCTAGTATTAATTGGTGATGAATGACTCTTTAATGCATCAATTAAACCATACGTTCCCCCAATATATTCTATATGATATACTGTAAGTACAGTACAGTCTTTTAAAGAGTGCAGCAGCACATTTGGTCTCAGTTCACATATCACTAACATGACAAGCTGCAAACAGCACAGAGTCAAAGGGTCAAGGCTCGAGGCAAAGGCAAGAGACAGCTCTCATGCGTGATTAATAAGTCATGAGTAAAGACACAAGAAGTGAGATAGCAATGCTCTGCGTTAAGAAAAACATCCACTTTCAGTAAATGTGACATTCTCCATGCTGTCGCTGTCCCTCACCTCCGGATAGGCAGAGCCAATGAAGAGAGCAGACCCGTTGTTGGGAAAGAGAGAGACACTGTGGCACTACTGCGTAACCACGATGGCTTCATGAAGAGCAAAGGGCTTTAAGATAGTGGCAATCAAGAGAACACAAGCACCACACGCTATGTCTACAATTAGTTACAAGACAAGATGCATCAGTATGTGATGGATTGTCATGTGTTCGCTGTATGTTGAGAAATCAAACCATGACTCAGCTATCTAAAGGTGTTTGGGTAGGATCACTTCCTGGACTAAAAGGTAACATGCAAAAGTCCAACAAGAACTATTTCGATGACGTTATTTCAATGACATAGTCGCGTTGGACTTATTCCTTAGTTTGAGTGTTTAACAAGAATTTTTTTGTGATTTTTACAATGTTCTGCAATGTTTGGAATAACAGAAACCGTTTTATAGATTGACGAATTGCTCAATTACTAACACATTTCCTGAGGGGAACCCTGTGGACCTTTCCGACACACCAACATGCAGCTCACACACCGCAAAGACACTCCAAAATGATGCAAACTATACACTACATAAGACTTGTCTATATGTATAGAGGGGTTAAGAGGAGGTGTTGATTCAATTCAAGCAGCAGAACTGTATCATTTTCACAAAGTATGCATTAATTGCGAGGCGTTTAGACTGAGTAGCAGTAGGCCTACACCATGCAGGTGTTTTTATTGTATCCATTCTCTCTTAGTTCTGTACGCTGTAAGCACTACTTTAGTACAAAGAAAGCTACTGGCACATTTTGGAGATTAAGACACAAACGAGTACAACCCATAAATCTCATCATGATTGCTTTTGGCGGAGGCATTGTTGTCAAAACAATGTCCAAACATGTGCTGGAAGCCAGCGCCTCCGTCTCACAAAATTCCTCAGATAATCATCCCATTTTTTCTCTCACGAACACTTCCCCGCGCTCTGTGTCGATTTCAGCCAGCGCTGTGATGAGAAGCTTCCCCTTTCATTCAGGTTCCTCTCCGCCTCTCATTCTCCATGTCTGAAGCAGTGTTTAAATGTGAATGAGTTTGCATCTCCGACATCATTCATCCTCTTACCTCTCACTGGTGCAGAGAGGTAAGAGACTCTTTTGATGTTTTCAAAGCCAGGAGTGGAGATTCAGGCTCTGATTCCTCTCTGCACAGCACGGCGCTTTGCTAAGTCAATAGCAGCTAATGAGGGCCTCGACAAGCAGAAACCACAATGCAAATTGAATAAACTGAGATAAGGATTCTTGTAACATCCAAAAGCAATGCCATGGTAATGACTGACATCATGAAGCGATATTGTTTGCCAGTGAAAAAGCTTTTGTTCGTGTCGCTGATAGAAAGGTGGCGGGGTCGTGTTGTGAAATCCCAGACCTCCTTTAGGGAGAAGCGATTCCATTTTTCTTTGTGTTTCTTTTTTCCTTCTTTTGCAAATATGTTCAATGATAACCATTATGGATAAGTGCTATTCTCAAACCACAGGTGTCAAGCGGCAATAAAATATTTGATGAATTGCCCGAGCCAGGTGTTGTGCTGGTGGGGCGGAATTCCTCCGTGATTTATCATCGCAGCTTTTGTCTGACACTGACAGGCAGCATATAGGAGGACTTGAGCTTCAACTTTAATCAACGCATCGTGTTATTTTATTGCAAAACTCATTCGAATAAATGTTGAAATAAACCTGTGATGTGAGCCGATGAATGCATGTTGGAACTCCTCCGACTTACATCTGTCATAATTCAGATTTTATGGGTCTTTTGGGGAATATTTTCTATATTATCAGATTCATATTTAGCCCAGTCTGCTCTGATTGGTTAGCTGTCCGGCTCTGTTGTGAGTGGGCAACCACTTAGAAATGTCCCGCCCCTTAGTCCAGTGGTTCTCAAATGGGGGTACGTGGACCCCTAGGGGTACGTTGGAGTACTGCAGGGGGTACGTGAGATTTATTTTTATGTTAATGAAAAAAAAAAAACTTTAGGAAAAGTAAGGAAGTTTGAGCAGTGTGGGTTTTATATGAACAGAGTTACACATATTTCAAAACGCAAAGTGTAATAACTGCAATTGCCTCCCTGTCACTGAGAATAACAAAGGTCCTCAGTGAAGCACAAGCCCATGTTTCACTACATTGTAAGTACAACTTATTAAAAAGATCAGTTCAAAGCAACTAATGTCGTCTTAGTGTTATTGCATGATGTTAAAATTGGTTTGCCATGAATTTAGTGATGGATTGTAAACATTTGAAATGTAGCATTTAAGTGTTTCTCAGTTACAAGGTTGTTGTTTTAATAAATCAGACACTGATGGTGCAGCGCTGTACTGTACCTCTTTATATAGGCATTTCTTCCCTAACAAATAGTTTTTGCGCTGATCAGGGGGTACTTGGCTGAATTTGTTTTTCAAAGGGGGTACATGATTGAAAAAAGTTTGAGAATCACTGCCTTAGCCTATCACCTATAATGTGTTGGAGCGCTAGCCAATAGAAGCTTGAATGCTACATAGTGATGTCACTATGTCACCAAAGTAAGGAGTTCAATGGATCTTCTTTGGGAACTATGGGATTGTAGGCTTTGCAGACCATTGACATGCACAGAAACCTATATAACTCACTACAGGGAAGGAGAATAGTGCCTCTTAAAGCTTGTACTGCAACAAAGGGCAGCTGATTATTGGTTTGTTGTAAAATAACCAATGTCAGGAATGGTATGAGTTAAAATATGATTTAAGTGTCTTATATTGTTAGTATTTGTACTTTCGAGAGATCACACGGTGTTATTCCTGTCTTTGATTTCCTGTTGTTGCCGTCGTGGCAGCTGTCATTTCTCATTCAAAACAGCTACTTCTTCTCCTTTGTGCTACAATAAATCCACCAGACAGTCTGCAGGTTGCGTAACAGCCTTGGCATCTCTAACACATACACAAATGATAAAAAGGTTTCATGCAGCAGGTATGGATTAAACCACAATTGTATAGTTGAGTTGGCGGTGGCTGTGGAGCATTCTTTTTTTACATACTTGAACTTTGGGCGAGGTTAGAACAAGTAGGAGTTTCATTTGTTTCTTATCTGTAATGTTACTTCTATTTATCTACTCACTTTTGTACAATAGTCTTGGGTTATGGTCTGCTGGTTACACCCTCAGGTTTAGACATGTGTACTTTCTCAGTGTTCAAACCCTCATGTCTTTGTTCCTGCTGCTGCTCTGAAACTCAATTTCTGCTGAGTTGTTTATTTGGTTGTGAAACACTCGAGTTATCAGCTATTGAAGAGGCACTTCTTCAGCTTGCTTTGTTGTCCTTTACTCCAACTCCAAAATGATCCACTTTATGAAAAGATAACAGTAAGTGAACGAAAACAGGCATCATTTTCCTGGGTTTTCTAAAACAGTTTTTGAAGTGATTGAAGGTAAAAACTGAATCATATATCACACGTAAATAGTGTCACACCCACTAACCATCCACACCCTTTGCACACCATCACACAGACTGAGAAGAAGAAAGAAAGAAGAGAGAGAGAGATGGAAAATAAAAGAATAATACAAAAATATAAAGGGAAACGATTGAATTAACCAAAAGAGTGACAGTTACAGTATGAAGAAAGAGAGCACCAAGATTCAGAAATACTGCTTACAATAACCATATTTTTTTTAAATGTAGCCAAGAAAATGGAAAAAGGCATAATTTCCTTTCTTTTCTAAGATTTTCCAGTGTGTTAACGCAGGTGGAAATAATGCAAATGACACACAAATAGCGTCACGCCCACAAACCCTTCACACCCTTTTTCTCCACTTGTACTGTATGTCAAACAGACTTAAGACTATGCACAGAAAGAAGAATGATTTAAAAGTTAGGGCCAAATTCAGAAATATTGCTTACGAAATCTCTCACAAAAAGCTTAAAGGTGGGGTAGGTAAGTTTGAGAAACCGGCTCGAGATACACTTGTTGTTATATTCCATGGAATGCTCTTAACATCCCGATAGCAATGAATATATAAAGTGCTTTGACAATAAATACATACAAATATATCATCTGTGGAAGCCGTGGTACTGTAAAAAGCACGACCAATCCTCTGAGCCGGCCCGGCTAAAGTAACTGGATGGCCTACCTGCCTGTCAGCCTTCCATCTGTGCACACACTTATCTCGTGCCCTCATTGGTCATGTGCGCGTTCGTGTGTGTTGGAGGAGGGGCTCTGTGAGGAAGTGGCAGATTTGTCCCTGCTGTGTATTTTCAAATTCTAGCGCACTCGAGCTGGTTTCTCCAAAATTACCTCCCCCACCTTTAACATGGCCGTGAAAATCAATAAAAAAGGCATTATTTATATTGTTTTCAAAGTTGTTGAGTTAAGAAGAGGATGCAGATCAAAATAAACCATATATCACATGAAGAAAAGTCCCTAAACCCTTCACACCCTTTTACCCCAATTAGATATCAAGAGTTTCTGCTCTTATCTCCACTCCTTTTGTTGAGGGAAGACATTACTCACTCTTTTTTAAATACACTATCATTAAAAATTTGGTGCAGCCCAATTAAAATCAAACGTGTTCTCACTCCCTTAGCAGTGGCCATTTCCAGATGGAGAGTTTGTTAGTATAATGTAGCTGATTCTCAGAGACCAGGTGTGTTCCTCTTACCTGCAGTTGTAATGGGCTGAGTCCAGATGCCGCTGCAGCTGCCATAGTAGATGGAATGAACTGCATGGGGTAATTCTCACCTGTTGAACAACCAAAACAAAACATTTTGTAGAGCGAGAAGGGAGGAGGGGGGGAGGCAGATACAGTATACCTCACAAGAGCTAACCTGAGCTTTACCTTCGACCAAACTCTGTCTCTTTCTGTCTTTCCGGTCTTTTGTCTTGTCCTCTCTCTTTTTCTTGTGCTCATGTTTTTATTCATGCCAAATGAAGTGTTTTATTCAGAGGTTAATGACGCTCATTGTCGGTACACACGGGTGCTCGAGACTCAGAGTTCAAGTCCAGTGCTCCCTCATCGGGATGCACTCATGGATGCATATACGAGCACCGCGTATAACCCCTACTGTTCGCCCCTAAAAGGCTTTCCATGTCCGAGCCTTTGTTGCAAACAGACCCAAGTCGAAGGGAGAGCGAATAATAATGGCTTTTTAATCAATTTCTCCATTTCTGTTTACGGCCTTGTGGGAGAAAATGCTCACGCAGTATAAGCATAAACATGGATTATTGTATGGAGGCATGGCGGTGTCAGAAGAAAGAAACGTGTGAAGTACGAGGAGAAGGAAAGAAAGCAGGTGGTGCTGCGAATCCTTCAATATAAGACTTTATGACCTGAAGTGTGTTTCTGTGAGACTGTGAGCTGTGTTTTGTTGCGCCTGTTTATACAAAATCCTTGTGGACTTCTGAACATACGCAGCAAGCATTCAGTCCTTTAAGTGTGTTCTTGTGTCGAGGAATGCATGTGTTTTGTCTGTCTGCTTCATCCATAAGCGTACATTGTTGGGTCGGTGGGTACCAGGAGAACATGTTGAAGAGTGTGTGTGTGTGTGTGTGTGTGTTGATGTGGTGTGTGTGAGAAAGTGTGAAATTCCATGTTGCAGATGTGTTGAGCAACTGACATGCTTTCAGCACGCCATAAAAGAGACATTCCAGTCCTCGCTGTGTCCAATGTATTGTTCCTGACGTGAACGAGCAGAGCTTGTAAATCTCTCCGCTCATTTCCAGAACATTCCTCACCTGACACACCTCATTAACATAGACTGGGATCCCTGTGTGTGTGTGTGTGTGTGTGTGTGTGTGTGTGTGTGTGTGTGTGTGTGTGTGTGTGTGTGTGTGTGTGTGTGTGTGTGCGCGCTGCGTGTGTGTGTGTGTGTGTGTGTGTGTGTGTGTGTGAAATAGAGACTTGCTGTGTCCTTTGTAGTTTACGAGAACTGTCAGATGTAGGGCTTTTGTTTGAGGGGGTGACTGTTTATCAAGAAAACATATATTTCCTTAACACTCCACAGCGCGTAATCCATCTTGGGCAATTGTTCAGTGTGTGTGTGTGTGTGTGTGTGTGTGTGTGTGTGTGTGTGTGTGTGTGTGTGTGTGTGTGTGTGTGTGTGTGTGTGTGTGTGTGTGTGTGTGTGTGTGTGTGTGTGTGTGTGTGTGTGTACCTGGCTTGTAGGACATGCTCGGGGGGAAGAGGAAGCCCTGCTGTGCGGCAGCGGCAGCAGCCAGAGAGCGCTGGTCGTGAGGAAACACCGGGATCATCAGAGGAGGCATGTGACCCTGGACCTGAGAGGGAGAGAGAGAGATGTTTCAAGTATTTACATGAAACATGTCAAAATAGGACAAGGTAAATAAAATCACCTTTACACACACAACAACAACAACTCCTACACAAATGCTGAAAACAGGTTGAATACACTAAAATACATACCGGAAAAAAATGGGAGGAAAATGGCAAGATGGAAAGTAACGATTGATCGATAGATGGATAGATGAATAGATAGATGGATAGATAGATAGATAGATAGATAGATAGATAGATAGATAGATAGATAGATAGATTAGGATAATAGATAGATACGTATATAGATAGATGAGAGATGGATGGATGGATGGATGGATAGATTGATAGATCGATTAGATGGATGATAGAAGAAGATAGATGGCTGAATAATAGATAGATAGTAGATAGATAGATAGATAGATAGATAGATAATTATATATAGATAGATAGATATATAGATATGATAGATAGATGGATGGATGATAGATAA